CCATCAAAAGTTTATGGTGAGGATTATGACACCCAGCACCCTGGCACGTGATAGGCCCTAGACTTCATTCATTAGTGTAACAAGTATTTATTGAGCTACTGTTACTCCGTACTGTGACTGACGGGTGAATGAATGAATATAAGGAGAAAACTGACAGGGCCTGGAGGTCAAGTGGAAGGTCTCAGTCTTTCCCACGTGCTCTCACCGGGCTTCTGACCGCCGGCCTCGCGCGCTTGGCACGCCGGATGTGACGTCACCCACTCCCGTGGTTCCCAGAACCAAGCTGTGGGACCGGAAGTTAACCTGGGGGTGTGCAGGGTGACCGGAAGTGGGCCACGGCTCCGCCAGCCCCGGTCCCGGGAGCCAGTAGAGAAGAGCGCGAGGAAGGCGGGGCACGAGGCGGGGCCGCTGCAGGGGCGGGGTCTGCAGGCTGGCGGGAGGGGGGCGGGGACCCCTCCTCCCTGCCGGACCCCGCCTGCCCCGGCGCCGGCGGCGGCACGGCCATGAAGCTGAAGCTGAAGAACGTGTTTCTCGCCTACTTCCTGGTGTCGATCGCCGGCCTCCTCTACGCGCTGGTGCAGCTCGGTGAGCGGGGCGGGGCGGGGGTGCGGCGGGCTGGCCGGAGGGCGCCCGCCGCCGTGCATCCCGCCCTGGGGATGAACCCCCGTGCAGACACCATTCATCCGCTCGGCCCTCCGACAGCCGTCTGCGGCCGCCGGACGCGCGCCCCTCTAGAACGCGCCGTGGCTCCCGCCGCACCTCGGATGAAATCCAGACTCCTTCCCAGAGCCTGCAAGGCCCCGCATGATCCTGCCGCCGTCTGCCTCTCCAACCCCATTTCCTTCCCCCGTCTCTCTCTCTCTGCTCCAACCACACCGGCTTCATGACAGTTTCTCGAAAACCCTCGCTCATTGCTCTCTCCAGCTCTTAACCTGTTCCCTCTGCTTGCGATGCTTTTCTCCCAGCTGCCTCTTTCTCATCCTTCAGGTCTCAGCTCAAATGTCACCGCCTCAGAGAGGCCTTCCCTGACCACTTTAGCAAAAATAACTCTTCTTTTTCTGGATTGTCTTCTCTATCCTATTTGTTTCCTTCATGGCCCTTAGCACAGTTTGTAATGGTTTTATTAATTTCTTTGCTCAGTGTCTGCCTCCTTCACTCAACTCAACGCTCCATGAGGGCAGGGAACCGTGTCTGTTTTGTTCCCTGCTGCATCCCCAGCACCTAAGGCAGTGCCTCCCGGGAGGAGCATTCAATAAATATTTATCCAATGATGGAATCGATTAATTTAATGAGTCCTTGGTCACACAGCTGAGGGAACAGATTCAACCCTGCCTCTTATGCAGGGATTTAGAGACAGAGCCACTGTGTGATCCTCAGGTATTTGAAAGACTGTCCTGTTTTAGGAGATCAACTTGTTCTTTATGGTTCCGGAAAGCAAAATTAGGAACAGCGGGTAGAAAGGATGGAGGCAGATAATCAGCTCAGTGTCCAAATGAAAATTGTAACGGATGGAATTTATTAAAGTTTGAGAGGGGCTGCTAACTGAGGCAGTGAGTTCCCCACCACCAGAGGTGTAGAAAATGCTGTTATCAAAGTTGTGAGGAGATTCCTGCATTGGTTAGGAGTTGAAGGAGAAGGTATGGCCCTTTGGGATGCTGAACATGCTGTGGTTCTCTGCCTCCAACCCTGCTTCCTGGGACCAGGCCAGCCATGTGACTGCCTCCCTCCCCTGCGGGCCGCAGCAGAGCAGCTTCGGCAGAAGGATCTGAGGATTTCCCAGCTGCAAGCCGATCTCCGTCGCCCACCCCCTGCCCCTGCCCAGCCCCCTGAACCTGAGGCCCTGCCTACTATCTATGTTGTTACCCCCACCTATGCCAGGTATGGGCTCTGGTGCGCTCAAGAGGCCTGCATGGACCAAGAAGTTGGGGTGGATGATAAGGCGTTTGAGGAAGCCCTAGGCCAGGGGATATTCCTCAAACTAGGGCATGCCAAACAACATGATAAATGAAATACATCTTTACTCAAAGACTTGTGGGAAAATGGTGGTGGTTCTCTTAAAATGGACAGGGGTGTACTGTGAAGCAGAATACAAAATTCCTGCGAAATTTTAAGATAGAATAATAAAGTTGCAAAGAAATTTTGAGCTTGCCACTGAGTTCACTCTCTCTCCTTAGGGATCCTTTGGTGAGAAAGTTTGAGAACCCCTTACTAAATTCAAGTAGAAAAGCGCTTGGCCCTACAGTCATACCAGGGTCTAGAAATAGTTACGCCAGTTATTGCAGTGTGTTTATTCTCTGCTAGGCGCTGTGATAAGTGCTTTCCTCTTTTTTTTTTTTTTTAATTAAAATGTAGCTTTGTTACTGATATGGACCAACTGGGGAATATGGTTTTGGATCTGTAGCCAAAGGGCCTCGTAACAGCACCCTGGAATCAAATGTTGACCCATTTAGGCAGAGGCAGCTCTTAGACCCTTTCCTCCTGCACATGTACACACCCACCATCAACCCTGGGCAGGCAGGCCCATCTGGAGGACGAAGAAGCCTAGAAGAGACTGGGCCAGACCTTCCCACTTCCTTGTCTAAACTCAGATAAATCATCTTCTCCTAGAGAGGGATAAGCCAAGAGGCTCCTCTAAATTCTTCTACCTGGAAACCCAAACACAGGAGGAAGAGAACCTCATCCTACTGGCGTCTTAGAAAGCCATTATTTAATCTTTAAAACAAAATTGTTATGAAGTACTTTTATTCTTATTTTATAGCCAAGGAAACTGAGGCTTGGGGAGATTGAGCCATTTTCCCCAGATGTCTCACCTAATAAGTTACAAAGCTGGCATTCAAACCCAGATCTGACCCCAAAGCCTATGTCCTTAACTTACAGCCCCCCACAGTCAGAGCCCTGGGGTTGAGGTGGGTGACAGACATGGACTGGAAAAACAGGGCAGTTGTCAGCATTGACAGGCAAGAAAGGGAATTTGGGTATTGGTCGGGGAAAGGTCATGTGGGATGCTAGAAGTGGCCCAGGAGAAGCTATGTATACTGGCTGGAGTGGGCAAATGGTGCCTACCCCTCTCCCTTCTGCTGCATCTCTCCCCTTGCAGGCTGGTGCAGAAGGCGGAGCTGGTGCGGCTGTCCCAGACACTGAGCCTGGTGCCCCGGCTGCATTGGCTACTGGTAGAGGACGCTGAGAGCCCCACCCCATTGGTCTCTGGGCTGCTGGCTGCCTCTGGCCTCCTCTTCACACACCTGGCTGTTCTCACCCCCAAGGCCCAGCGGCTCCGGGAGGGCGAGCCAGGCTGGGTTCGGCCCCGTGGTGTCGAGCAGCGGAACAGGGCCCTGGACTGGCTCCGAGGTGGAGGGGGTGCCGTAGGGGGAGAGAAGGACCCACCCCCGCCGGGGACCCGAGGAGTTGTTTACTTTGCTGACGATGACAACACCTACAGCCGGGAACTCTTTGAGGAGGTGAGCACTGGGATAAGGATGGGGAAAGAGGCCAAGTGGGGCCAGCTTCATCTGTTGCCTTGGTTACCACTGTTGGTCCAGGCTACTGGATGAGGAGGGGGGAACAATGGGGCAGAGTGACCCAAGTGGTCCTTCCTGATGCTCGCTATCCCCTGGGTTACCCCGTTTCTTCTCTCCTGACCTCTGTTAGATGCGCTGGACCCGTGGTGTCTCAGTGTGGCCAGTTGGGCTTGTGGGCGGCCTGCGATTTGAGGGCCCTCGGGTACAAGATGGTCGGGTCGTGGGCTTCCACACGGCATGGGAGCCCAACAGGCCCTTCCCATTGGATATGGCGGGATTCGCTGTTGCCCTGCCCTTGCTATTGGCTAAGCCCAATGCCCAGTTTGATGCTGCTGCTCCCCGGGGCCACCTGGAGAGCAGTCTCCTGAGCCACCTCGTGGATCCCAAGGACCTAGAGCCACGGGCTGCCAACTGCACTCGGGTAAGGGGCTGGAGGTGGGCACAGAAACCTGGCTCTGGGATGGATGGGGGATGGGAAGAGTGGGAGTGAGGCCCTGGGGAGAAGGACGAAAAGATGGCTGTTTGAACCAGGAGGGATCTTCCAGAGCCCAGATTCAACCTTGCTTACTCTACTGAAGGGGAAGCTGGGAGCCAGGAAGGAAAGTGGTCTCCTGCCACTGTGTCTCCCCAAGTCCTGGGTACCCATGTGGCGCAGAGAGGGGAAGGGGTAAGGCCCCATTTAAGGAATACTAAAGCCTCCCCCTACCCTGCCCTTTCACACTTTGCAGCCAACACTTGGTTTGTAAAGGGGCTGGAGAATCTGTTCTACACTGAGGGCCCCAGAGGCCTGGCTCCAGCCAGGCCTGGCTCTAACCGAAACCCTCCCGGGACAGGTTCTGGTGTGGCATACGCGGACAGAGAAGCCCAAGATGAAGCAAGAGGAGCAGCTACAGCGGCAGGGCCGAGGCTCAGATCCAGCCGTTGAGGTGTGATGGCGGCCCCATCCCGCCCCCCACCTCATCAGGCACAGAGCTGGGGGACTGAGCCTCTGGCCTGCCCAGGATGTGGTTTTCCAAGTCCTGACCCCTCAGAGCCAGGGGCGGCCCCTCTGCCCCTTCAGCCCCAGGGCGTAGCCCAGCTGCTTCTCCCCTCCCCCAGCCTGCCATGTGGCACTGCCCACAGGCTGGGGACAAGCGGCCCTTGTATTGAGCCAGATTGGCCCTGTCTGGGGCGGAGCAAAAGGACAGAAAGACTCAGGAGGGAGGGCGCCTGAGTAACTGGGTAACTTATTGAGGCTGGGCATGCACTGGGGGGCTGGAGGAGCTGGGCTGGACCCTCCCCACCTGAGCATGCTGACCCCCTTCCTACCTCCAGAATAAAAAATCTCAACCTGGAGGGGTCACTGTTTTCCTTCGCTTCCCACGTCTGGTTCTTGCACTCTGATCCTTACCACGGTCCAAACTTTGTCATCCTGGCTTCTCTATCAGACAGAAATCAGTTCTCTCAGGGACCCCAACCCAGATGAAGAGAGAGATCGGTGGCTTCAGTCCAAAAGCTTTATTGAGTCTGTGCACCAGAAGCAATCTCCAGTCCTTGTCATCGCCCTGTTTTCCTCTGTTCCCTGGTGGTTCGGCCACAGGGGCTGGGCTCTAGGATACCAGGTTTTCTCTCCTACCCCCGTCCAGCTCACTGACTATCTTTAACCCCTCTAATCCCAGGGCCCCCCCTCCCCGAGAGCCTTGGTAAGGAGTTGTGAGGTTTCCTGTCTTGTCCATCCCTCCCCTTCCCCCCCTCCCAATGCCCACCCCAAGCTCTAGGCCACTAGGCCTCAGGTAGACCCTCCTTAGGAGGGGCCTCTAGTGATGGGGCCTCCTCAGGTGCTGGCCTGTGGGCAACCCCTCCCTTTAGCCATGCTGTTTTCAGCATGCCTTTCAGCCCACTAGGAAAGAGATAGCCCTGTGTTTCTCCCTCCCCATTGATGACTCCTCCAAGCCCCTCCAGTGCTGTTTGCAAGTACCGCAGGCCCAGGAGCACCAGAGTCTGTGGGGAAAGCAAGGGAAAGAGGTCAGTGAGGGTTGGCCGTTCCAGGGGCCCCAGTGAGGCAGTGAGGAGGCCCAGATGGAGGGAGGCCTCAGACACGTTGCTGACTCACCTGCAGCACAAAGGTGACAGCCAGCATGCTGCCCAGTGTGCTTGCCAACCCTTGCAGCTGCCCCAGCAGCACACCATGGCATCCTTGGTCCCAGAGATTTAGGTTGGGTTGTCGGGGATCGAAGAGGGGGTGAGCATGTGGGTCTGAGAGCTGGCTTTGCAGGCAAGGCCTGGGTGAGTGGGGGTTGCAGCAAGAGAAAGGGACCCCGTCAATCAGATATAGGCCTTCCACATTGCTCTGGATCCGGCTGCAAAGGGAGGGCCAGGGTGTTAGGATGTCTGGAGATAAGAGGCCTGGGGAGATGCTGCAGGGCACAGGAGTTGAGAAGGGAAAAAAGTAAGATGTTTACTGACTGCTTTACTGGGTGCTAGGCATGCATAATTCATTTATCTTCACAAAACTCCCTATGATAAGTACTATTACCATCTCCATTTCACAGGTGAGGAAATGGAGCCAGAGCAGTTTGGTAACATGCCCTGGGTCACACAGCTAATACATGACAGAGCTGTAACCCATTCTCCCAACCACTATGCTCTATTTATGGCCTGTCCAGGTGAGGGGTTTCAAGGGAGGAGGAGGAGGAGGGAAGAAGCAAATCACTCACTCAACCACGTCCTGGTCATTGGGATCCAGGTAACGGCTGCTGACCCACTGGATCCCAAACCAATCCTTGTACCCATGGCGTCCGCAGCAGTGGTACCTGAGCTGCAGCTCATCCAACAGCCGTTTGGCATGACAGTGTCCAGGCACCTCTGTGTCCTTGTAGTGAGCCAAGGCAGTCGCCAGGCCCTCCTCCAGCCCTATGTCCAGACTCCCAGGTAGAGCCAGGGCTAGCCCCAGGGCAAGGACCAGGAGCCCCCCGCCCCCAGCAGTGCTAGCCACCAGCAGTGGGCCCAGGACCCCTCGCCAGGGAGGGTATTGAGCTGCATCCAGACTGGCCCTGCTGGCTCCTGCACCCACCAGTCCTGTGCCCAGAGCCACTGCACCGGCTGCCAGGGCAACCTGAGGCAGGGCAGCAAATGGGCAGGAGGGAGCCAGGAAGGTGCCAAGGTGCCACAGCTGGACCAGGAGATGCCCGCTACAGAGGAGGGTGAGGCCACCAGCCAGCGCCAGAAGCCAGGAGAGGAGCCAGAGCCCCTGTGCCAGACGGATGCGGGGCTGGAGGGGCAGCACCAGGGGCAACACCGGCGCCATCTCCCATCTCTACCCAAGGGAGAGCAGAGCTGTCAGGGCTGGGGATTGGCCGGGGCAGGATGCTGAGTCAGCCCAGCTCGGCTTGAGCTGGGCTAATGCCACCCTGACCCCAATACCCTGGGCAGCCTCCCATCCCCAGCCTTAATAACTCGCCGCCTTGTCCCCTGCCAGCCGCAATTCGGGATGCCTTGGCCTTGCCCCTTAGGAAAAGTCCCTCCCCCAGGCAGAGGGCCTATTTCGTGACCCCGCCTCTGCCCCCTCGCGGAAGTGGGGAGGGAGGGCTGGTCGGCTCTGCCCGAGGGGCTAGGGGCTGGGGGGCGGAGACCTCGGGACCCCTGCTGTCTCCCAGGTCCCCAGGGAATCCGGGGGCGGGGATCCGGAAGGGCCTGGAGGGCGGAGGCCTGGAGACGGCCTGGGGGTCAGCGGGTTGGCCCCGCCCGCGTGCTAAGCCGGGAGGCCCGGACAGGGAGGGGTTACCAGGCGGCCCGGCCCCCCCCACCCCGACCCGCCCCCCCTCCTGCGCTTCCTGGCGGCTCCGCGTCCGGCGCCTGTTTGTGCTGCGGCGCTGGGGCCCGGGACGGCCCCGTCACCCCACCCCCGGGAGCCGAGAGCGGCCCCGGGAGAGTCCGAGGCCCCGGTGGGCCCCGGAGTCGGCGGCCCCCGCCCCACAGCGCCCCCTCCAGGCCCTTTCCCCGCGCCCGACAGCGCCCCCGGGGGGTGGCACGGCGCCCTTGCGCGCGCGCCCCGGGGTGCTTCCCCTTCCCCTCTCCCTGGCCATGGCCCCAGCGGCTTAGACGCCTCCTCCGCCGCCGCCGCTCGGAGCAAGCCGGGGGGCCGGATGGACGGGGCCGGGGGGCCCGGTGAGTACGGGGCGGGGCGGGCGGCGTGCTCCTTCCCGGAGCGCCCGGCCGGTCGGGCGCCGCCAGTGCCCGACGGCTGTCTGCTGGCGTCCCCGCGTGCTCTCGGCCCCAGGGGCTCTGAGCATCCTCCACTGTTCTCAGGTCGCTTCCCCTACTTACTTGGGTTCCCCTACCGTCACTTCGGACTTCCCCAACGTCATCCTGCCCCTCGATGTTTCCCTGCCTCCTATGTTCTTCTGGGCCTTTTCTCCTGGTATTTCGGGTCTTTTTACTTCTGACTCCCTCTGTCACCTTGGGCCCTTCACTGTGACTCTGTCTCCACTGATACCTGTCATTCTAGTTCTCTCCTGGCCCACTGAGTCCTCAGGACGACTGTACTCTTGGGTCCCCCGTTCTCTCCCGTGCCCCCTGCTCAGTTTCTCTGCCTCCCCTGGAGACCCGAGCTTGCTCTGGGTTGGGCCTGTCGTCCCTCACCAGGACTGCACCTCCCTCTGTGGTTCCCACGTTCTTCGGCAGTACTCCATATTTCCTCCGGTACTCCATGGTACTCCCTGTCTTTGCGGAGGCTGGAATGGCAGCAGGAAGGGAGCTTTGCCAGGTTCCTTGCCTGCCTTGCCACAAGGAGGCTCTTGATCCTCTACCACCCATCTCCTCCCCTCTGGGCGAGCCCCAAGCCTGGGGCTGCTTGAAGGGGGCAGTCCTATTGGACAAATGCAAAGTTGAGGGGAGAGAAGTCCTCAGCCCTTTCCTCTGGTGGTGGGCACATTCTGAGTGCTTCTTGCCCCTTCCCCAGGTGAGGGCCCTGCTCAGGAGGTCCTGCGGTCCTTGAGCCAGCGGCTTCAGGTGCAGGAGAAGGAGATGGAGCTGGTAAAGGCAGCCCTGGCGGAAGCCCTTCGCCTGCTGCGGCTGCAGGCCCCCCCCACCTCCCTGCAGGACGCTGGCATACCAGCTCCTACAAGGGACAGGTATGCATATCGCCACACCCTCTTCCTCCTTCTTCCTGGGGCCTGTAGGGGCATCGGGTTTGATTCATTGTCTCCCCAGCAGCCCTGCAGCGCCCCCAGGACTACCACCCACATGCAGCCCCTCCTTGGTGAGCCGAGGCACCCAGACGGAGGTGCAGATGGAGCCATCCCCTGGACCCCCTGGCCTGAGCAACGGGCCCCCAGCCCCTCAGGGGGGCAGTGAAGAGCCTAGTGGGACACAGTCTGAAGGAGGGGGCAGTAGCAGCAGCGGCACTGGCTCCCCTGGCCCCCCGGGGATCCTCAGGCTTGTGCAGCCCCCACAGCGTGCTGATACGTAAGTGTCTTGTGGCAGAGGCTGGGAAGGGTGGGAGGGTTGGCGAGCTTGATTAGAGGGACTGACCTTCACCTGCTCACTGTGCTCTTGCCAGGCCACGGAGAAATTCTTCCTCCTCCTCATCCCCTTCAGAGCGGCCTCGACAGAAACTCTCCCGGAAGGCAGCTTCCTCGGCCAACCTGTTATTGCGTTCAGGGAGCACAGAGAGGTGGGCGAGGCTCCCCCCCAACCTGCCCGCCCCACGCTCAGGCTCTTGACTTTCCACATCCCTCACCTCACTTCCCTGGGTGGGGTGGGGGGACCTCATTGCCCAACAGGAAGAAAGGAACAAGCACTCCTGGGGCGCCTGCTGTGTACCCGGCGCTGTGCCAAACCCTCGACCTTCTCCATCTCATTCAGTCCCCACGACATCCTTGGGGGGTAGGTGGTCACATGCTGTTCATTGTCCAGGTGAGGAAGCAGGCTCAGAGAGGGTAAGTCATTTGCCTGGGGTCACACAGCTAGAGTCAGGATTCAACCCCACTTCTTCCAGACTCCACTTCCCCTGCCCTTTCCACCTTATCATGGCATACCTTCCAAGATTCCAAGAGGCTTTTCCAAAAGCTCCCATGATTTGCATGGAATACTGTTTTCAGAGTTTCAGCCCACCTTCCTCACCCCAATCTGCTAGGCTTTGCTTCTAGAGTCCAAGGAGAGATCCTCGTGGCTGAGCACAGTTGTCTCTGAGTCTGTACAGGTCCCAGGACACCTGAGTGTTCATTCTGCCCTATCTTTGGTCTCTCCTTTATTCTCTGAAGAGGTGTCACCTTATTATCATCTGTGACAGTGATCTCTGGAATTCACCTGTCACTTTCCTCTTGCGAGAGGAGGACTTTCTGGCTTACCTCCCAGATCCCTGTACATTCTGGGTTTACTTTTGTCCCACTTGACAGATGGGGAAATCAACAGCCAGAGGCCTGGCGGGCTGGAGGAAAGGGCTTCTGGCTTCTTCTCTCTGTCACCCAGCATTGCCTCTTACAAGCTTTGTGGCCTTGTGCTGTGTGCTCAGCCCCTTTAGCCTCAAACTTCTCATCTCTTAAATGGAGCCGAAAGTCCCCATCTACTCTCGGGCCCTGAACACTCAGAATGCAAACTAAAAGCCGCAGAGGTGATGTGGTCTCTGGAGTAACCTCCTGTCTTGTGTCCTCTCCCTCCCCACTTAGGTCTTGGGACCTGACTCCAATCTATGCTTTTCTCTCTTCCCAACAGCCGCGGAGGGAAAGACCCCCTCTCCAGCCCTGGGGGTCCTGGATCTCGGAGGAGCAATTACAATTTGGGTATGTAGAGAGGGCTCTAGAAGAACTTGGATGACAGAGTTAGGGTTTGGGCTATAGCCCCAAGAGCTGTTTTGGGGGACTGGTGAGGTGTGGTGGGTGGAGTTCTCTTCTGGCTTTCCTGGAAGGGAGGCTGCAGGGTGCTGGTTGACACGAACCTCCCCCCGCCCCTGTTTTCTCTGTAGAAGGCATCTCAGTGAAGATGTTCCTTCGTGGCCGCCCCATTACCATGTACATCCCATCTGGCATCCGCAGCCTTGAGGAGCTGCCCAGCGGCCCACCCCCGGAGACCCTCAGCCTTGACTGGGTGTATCCTGCCCCCTCCAGTCCCATGGGAACCACTTTTCCCATCTTGGGACCCCCCCCCCCCCAGCCCCTTTTTTATGATTTCCTGCTGGGTCTGCAGGGTCAGGGAGCCCTCTGAATCCTCCCGTACCATCGTCTGCCAATGCTGCCAGCCAGAAGCTTTGTCCTTCTCCCCGCTTCCTCGTCCTGCCCTTGATCTGACCCTTTCCTTGACCATGACCTCCACTCCAGTTATGGGTACCGGGGTCGTGACTCCCGCTCTAATCTGTTTGTGCTGCGTTCTGGGGAGGTGGTTTACTTTATTGCCTGTGTGGTGGTGCTGTACCGGCCTGGGGGAGGCCCAGGGGGTCCTGGAGGTGGCGGCCAGAGACATTACCGGGGGCACACGGACTGCGTTCGATGGTGAGGGTCCCGGGACCTGGGGGTGGGCACAGGGGTGGTGGGCTTGGCAGGAAGAGTGGTTGGGCGGGTGTAGAGGAGCAGGAGAGAAGAGTTGCTTTGCTGCTCCGTGAGCACAGAGAAGGTGTCCTGGGTGGTCTTGAGAGACCGACCCCCTTCCCTAGAGTGTCTCCTCCCCTACTTAGCCTGGCTGTTCACCCTGATGGTGTCCGTGTAGCCTCAGGACAGACAGCTGGAGTGGATAAGGATGGAAAGGTAAGGTCAAAGAGACACCAGGCAGACAGGATGAGATTCCAGCCCAGCTTTCCTTCACACCCCTGACCCCTCCTCCTCCACCAGCCCCTGCAGCCTGTGGTTCACGTCTGGGACTCAGAGACGCTGCTGAAGCTGCAGGAGATTGGACTGGGGGCCTTCGAGAGGGGTGTGGGGGCCCTGGCCTTTTCAGTTGCGGTGAGCTGGCCCCAAAGCCTCTAGACCCCTATCTTCCTTGTCTGGGAACCCCCTTCTTGCACTTTACCGGGAAGCCTCAGAAGTTTTGGCCTTCCTGAACCCCACCTGGCTGCTTCTCCTGAGAAGGAGACATAAGTCCATTTCTCCTGCCCTTTTAACCTGTGATGGGACCCCCTTGCCTAATAACCGTGAACCCTAGACCTCTGAGCCTCACTCAGCCCCTTCGATGTGTCCTCCATTCTCAGGATCAGGGTGCTTTTTTGTGTGTGGTGGATGATTCCAATGAGCACATGCTGTCAGTGTGGGACTGCAGCCGGGGCACAAAGCTGGCTGAGATCAAGGTGAGGAGTCCAGGTGGCCTGGAGGAACCCTGAGGTTGGGGAGGTAGGGGTGGTGGAGTGCAGAGAGCTCCACACTTACGCATACATTTACTGCCTTTCCGGCTGGGTCACCTGGGGCAAGCTGCCTAGCCTCTCTGAGGCTGTGAAATGGGGACTGCAGAAGTTCTCCCCTCATGAGGGACGATGTGTTAGGCATTAACATAGGGTGACTAATCGTCATGACCGACAGTAGTGCTCTTAGGGGACCAAGGTCTGGAAGGATGCGCTGTCCTGGGGATTCTCAGCTTCTGCAGACCACCTGTTAGAATACAAATTGAAGAGAGTCAAGTAGAATGAGGGTGCTCAGGGCTCGGGGAGGCTGAATCTCTTATCTTCCCTTCAGAGTACAAATGACTCAGTCCTGGCCGTTGGCTTCAGCCCTCGTGACAGCAGCTGCATTGTCACCAGCGGGAAGTCCCACGTCCACTTCTGGAACTGGAGTGGTGGAGTAGGGGTTCCCGGGAATGGGACCCTCA